TTAGAATATCGATACAGTATCGGGAAATGAAATATCGTGATATTTCAGTGTATCGATATTTTCTTACACCCCTACTTTAGTCCATATAATTGTTGAAAATTATTATATATTCAATCATCAAACTTTAAATAAATTGCTCCAATCTTTACGAGTTAACCATTGTTGCTAGAAATGTCCAAAAAATCTGAACTCATTTGCTCATTAAACACCATTTTAAGAGGTTTCCCAGTATTTTGATAAAAAAATTAAAAGCTTTAATTGAATTTCTGTGCTTACCAAAAGACGTCTTCATTTTACAAAGCAGCACATCCCTCCATTTCATGCTGTAGCTGCAAATAAACTCGTCACTGTGTTAAAGATGGCGCCCTGACCTTGAGTCATTTGTCATCACTTTTTTTTTGTATCTGCGTGTCTCGCCCGTCTGAAATGAAAGTTGTTACGTATTGCCAGCTACCCTGGATTCTCCATCAGTCAGCCTGGCCTTTGTTTGTCAAAATAGGGGGAAAAAAAGAGAGAAGATGAAAAAGGAGGAGGCAAAAGCAGTTTACTGTAGAAAACAATTTACTGAAGACACAAGTCAAACGTGAAAAATGACTCACATTCCTCCTCCGTAAAGGGTTCTTTAATTTGATTCTGGATAGTTGTTTGTAAGGTCAGTAAAAACATTTGAGATGCAACAGCATTTTATTTTTAATATGAGGCCTCAGCATTTAAACAGCTTAGCATAAATAAAGTACTAACAGGCTACGCAAAATCTTTTTATCGTGGCTTTTGGGTATAATCTAAACTTCCCTTAAAATAATCATCAATCAAAAATAATCACGTTGGTTTTTTTCTCAAGTTTGTCAGAAATCACAAATATACGTATATATTTTGTGTTTCCTGAAAAACTTGGGGGAAAAGCATGTCTTAGGTGATTATTTGAGGACGGTGTCATTTTATTTCAAGGGGGAATCAAAACAATTTGAAATGTTCAAAATTTTTAAAAAGACAATAATTTGGATCCTTCAACGTTTCACTGATGTTTAGCTACCTAACTATATCACTGCTAAGGCTTTAAAGCAGTGTGTTAACTTCTAGTGGTAAGGTTGCAAGTTTTCGCCTTCTGAGTCATTTTTATCCAAAGATTCATTTTTGATGCTCTTTTAATCCTGTTGTGGGGTGTTGGTGTTTATTTCCAGAGGACAAGAGGCAGGGACAAACCTTGAACAGGTCCATCCTCTTACCGTAACCTAACATACATGTTTTCAGACCGTGGAAGGAGACTGAGAAAACACACCTATGCACAGAGGGAAAAAAAAATAACAGACATAAAAACTGAGATTTGAGCCTCCAGTCTTTAAGCTGTGAAGCACTAATAACAGTCCAGATTGATTCTGGATTGAAAAGGTTCTTTGTTTGTTCAGAAATCTGTGATTCACAGATCACCGTTAATGCTCAGATTAACAGTTTTCTACAGGTGATCAGCTCTGATGGCAAGAAGAAATAAACAAGATTATGTTACTGTCTGGATTTAAAATCAGTGATCTACATGATCTACAATGATTAGAGTTGCACTTAATGGGAAACTCATAACATCCAGCGTATTTTCCTCGTAAATCTTTCTTTAATTTAATTAAAGTTGCTTTCTTTTCTCCTTTATTTGCTTTGATCAGCTCTCAGCCTTTGCATCAAGCAGTCAGATGTTTTAGGATTTTTATCACCACTTCTTTTCTTTTTATTTTCATAAAAACACCAAATTGCACATCCTTTTATATTATTAACAGTGAAGCTTGTGAATGAATGGGTTCACGCTGATTATTAGCCAAGTTTTGGGTTCACATTTTTCCTCTCTGTGACAAACAGGATTTATTGTAGGAACATTACTTCATAGATAATTACATCCCCAATGTTTTATTCAAGATGACACCATGACTAATCAAACTAGTGCAAATCAACGATATTTACACATTAATGTGAAACTCATAAGGTTTAATACCTGTATTTTGTAAATTGAATGACATTATTGATATTTTGATTATTATTACTACTATTGTTCTTATTAATATCATTGCCATGTGGTTTTTCACAAAGTAGGGAACACTTCCTGTTGTACTTCTGAAAACTGAAGCCTCATTAGATGTTTTACCTCATTATTTCCCCCAAAATTATTGCTAAAAAGGGAGCGATAAAGCAAAGAGGTTAGCACACTCCTGCCTTCTCTAATGAAACACATTAGGGCAGCAAAATCAATAGCATATTTAGTTTATTATAGAACGTAACTGATTCTGTTAGTATAACACAGCTGATTTAAAATATATTTAAAGGATTTCAGTTTGTTGCTCGAGTAGCGGCTTCATTCACAATTTAGCCTTTGTGTGTTTTCATTTTTGCACAAGCTCCCTCCAGCACAAAATCCATTAAACAGCTAAACGGGGAATTTTAAAAGGCCCAAATGGGAGGTTGTTAATTATTTGTTGTCGAGCCATTGGAGTTCCACTTTCCTGAGCTTCCACTCGTATATATCTGAAGTAATAAGGTTTTAAAATAAATTTAATTCCTATGGGGGAGCTAAATCTGGCTGTAATTACCCTCTGCATTTATGACACTGTGTCGAGGGGCAGGAAATGATCGTCTGATCACAAACTTCTGACAAAAAGAAACATGATTTTGAATGTTTGTTGTGATGCTAAACCCTCTGCCCCTTAATTAGCAAAGAAGCATAGGGGAATTTATCACCACAATCTACTCATTCACATGTTATAATTATGTTTCATACAAAGCTAAAAACTGTCAGCTCATATTTTATGGACAGACCTTTTTAATACAATTAAAATCAGAACAAATAAACACACATTAATTTTATCAGATTTTATTTTAAGAAATAATCACAAATTTGAGAAAAAAGATTATTTTTGGTGACACACAGAAAGCAACACTTTGTCCTCATTTAGCACCATTCCCAGGTGGCTCAAAGCCATTAAGCATCATTAATATTGATTTTATTTAAAAAATTAATGCCAGGTGGGAAAAGTCCTTCAGCCACTCTTCTCTCTCTCTCTCACACACACACACACACACACACACACACACACACACACACACACACACACACACACACACACACA